ATCCATCCATCCATCCATCCATCCATCCATCCATCCATCCATCCATCAATCCATCCATTTTCTTCTCTTTACTTGTTTATCACAGACACTTGTTTTTATGCGATTGCTCTGAATTAAATTTGTGATAATAATATATTTTCCTATTTTATTATTATTTAACATTATATTTTCCTACCGGGCAGCACAGTGGCGCAACTGGTAGAGCTGCTGCCTCTCAGCGAGCAGGTCCTTGGTTCAAACCCCGGTCCAAGGGCCTTTCTGGGTGGAGTTTGCATGTTCTGTCCGTGCATGCGTGGGTTTTCTCCGGGTACTTCGGTTTCCTCCCACAGTCCAAAAACATGCATGTTAGGCTGATTGGTAACTCTAAAATTATCCCTAGGTGTGAGTGAGAGAGTGAATGGTTGTTTGTCTGTATGTGGCCCTGTGATGGACTTGCGACCCGTCCAGGGTGTACCCCGCCCCTCGCACAGTGATTGCTGGACATGGGCACCAGTGGCCCCCGTGACCCAAAATGGAATAAGCAGGTAAAGATAACGGATTTTCCTACCGTACTTTAAAAATCTGATCATGCAATATATTAAAAAATAAAAATATAAACAACAAATAGACCAATGCTGTATTTTAAACAATAAAGATACCTCCATTAATGCAAGTTTGTGGGTGTAAGAACTTTAAAAAGTCATGCTAAGTTCAAATCAATTTTCATGTCTCCCTTTGCCCTACTCTCTACCTGTATTTATGTGTTTTCTGGTAGATGCAGTCATTAAGTCTTCCCTTAATATACAGTCATGCAGCACTATCCCACACGGCTGTCCAGATGGATGCACAGTTGTGTTTGAGAATGTTTTCCATATAAAACCTTTGGTAAATTACTATTTATTTATGCTTTTTTTTACAGTTTTGTTCTGTGATCATCCGCAGACACTTTTACTTAAAACAAACATTTGCTACTCTTGCTGGTATGACAGGGAACGATGGGTCAAAATTTGTGTTGTGATTGGTATAAACAATAACAAAAAAAATCGTCTCCCCTAAAAGATTTCTTCGGTGCCTTTCTCATGCCATACTTTTATCACATAATGCCTGCAGCCTGCCATAAATCTGATAGTATATCTTCCCTTTCAGCTTTAGTGTGCCTGTGTTGATGAGTGACAATGCAGGGAAAATACAAATACATTTCAGCATGGCTGGAAATCAATCATCTCACCATCACCACTGACATTTACTAGACAATAAAATATACACAGTAGCAGTATCTATTATTTGAAAAAAGAGAGTTTCCAAAGGAAAAAAAAAAATCAGTGAATGATCAGGAGCAGTTCATTTCATTCAAATCTAAGATCTGTTTATTACATGTTTGCTGGCCTTTCCAGGTGGCAGGTCATCATATAATTGCTCATGTTTGTGTACCCACAAACGTGGGTTTTCCCTCTGTTGGCAGATTATCTCATAATTCACTAGATTGTTTTTAATAGAACTCCTTAAAAGTAATAATTAAATGAACCTCTACATCTATGTAACTTCTGGATATGGCCTAATTCAAGATGAATGCCACTGCAAATTGACCCTAGCAAATAGAAAAATGGATATATCTCAGTGAGTCTTATGGATATGTCCATAATTTATAATATTTAGCTGAAATCTTGTGTGGTAGTAGTGGAAAGTCATATCCGTCATATAACCTGAAGACTAACAAATCAGACAAGAACTTAGGAATTATTATTAGCCTTCATTTAAAATGTAGCAATTCAAGATGGTGTAAAAAATGCAT